ACAGCGTCAATGCACTGCTAAGGGATAACTCAACGCTCTCTGCGAGACTGCTTGTTTAGATTGGCGGCAGAAGCTAAGGAAATTTAGTGACTGAAAGCGCCCTGACTCCATCTGACAGGTAGCAGTAATGTAAAGGCAACCCGAATAAGTATTGACCACGAAGCCTGTCAATTCCCGCTTGAAAAAAACAGCAACAGTGCAATGAAGACGTGAACTCAAAAACCTATGACGGAAAAGCCAATAACGTGTCAGACTGATGAGACTGAGTGAATTGAAACTGCATCGGGATAATCCTCTACGACTCCCCCGCCAAACGACATATTTGGTGTGACAGCCGCCTTAGCCTTCGATATTTACAGTGGTGGCGAGTACTGATCCTTTTGGGCGGGACTTGATCCAATACTTTAACGCCCAACGTCTTGATGACGCGTTTCGAGGTGCAAAAGTCGCATGACCTCTGCGGTGCGTCCCTACCAGTGGCCTTGTCCCCACTGAGAGGGACGTGTTAATTTTCAATAAGCGTTAGTGTCCCTCTGCCTGATGGTTGATTTGTGAATTTGTGCTTGTACTAATTAAATCACCGTTAAATTTTTCTACACCGACCACGACTACCTGCGTGTGTCTGTGTCTCGCGCGTCCTTTTCTGTGCAGCCCTCGTCTTTGACCTCTATTGCTATCTTTCCTGCACGCCTCGTCTTGAACTCCATTCTATTCTATCTTATCCACACCCAGTGTCTCTTCACGAGCCGCTCGGCTATTCGACTGCCAAGCGCTCTTATTCATGTTTTGCGCATTTTCTACCCTTTTCTTCTGTACTAGCAAACCTTCAATTTCATTTTCGAGTGAAATCACTCCACCTTAGTGATCTGGAGAGCGTCTTTGGAAGCAGCTCTTCCGATAAGCTAACTCGTAAAGTATTACTTACGAGGTTCCAAATGAAAAAAGGGAAACAATCAAAAGCCGAGAAATGAGGCCGTTCGCCTGTTGCTTTGGAAGCGGATGAGTTTACTGGAGTTCAAGCTGAAGCTGACAGGCGCTACTCCGCGTGTTGATTTTGAAAGTGAAAGGCATCACGACTACGGCAACTGATAACCAATTGCTACTTCGATGACGGTGTGACAAAGCATTTACATTGAAAATCGAGTGATGGTGGTAGCGACTCCATTCTCAGACCATTGCCGTTACCCTACTTTGCATGTGCCGAGGGTGGGCGCGTCTTGAAATTTTGAGGAGTTCTGAAGCACCTTCGGCACCTTCTCATGCCCTTTATTGAGCGCCATTCAATGCGGAAGCACCACCTAATCCCACTCCGGTCCATCTGAGGGAAGTGAATCAAGGAGGTGCCGAGTGTTTGTCGATTTGGGAGACTGGGAAGGTGCATAATCCGGACCAAAAGTTTTACCGTTTTTGAAATACCAGTTTTGTCATCCAGCAACCAACGCGACTTCAGCGCGCTTTCCACACTTGTGAGGTCAACATCTCGAGGATGGAACGTGATGTGATTTCGGGATATACCGTGATTGTGCCTTATAGATGAACAACGAATGTTACAAAATACTTTCAGCGATTTTCAATACATGAAGGAATACAAAATAAAGAATTTTGATCAAAATGACGTGAATTCCAGATGAAGGAGCAAATTATTCAATTTCGGCGCAGCTGCAGTCAAAAGCATTTTCACCTTGATTGTTTCAACTGGAAAACTTATCTTGTCATCCAGTTTCATCTACCATCTAGCACTCCTTTCACTTGCATTTCTATAGAAATGAAAAGAAGAAGAGAAATTGAATGAATCAGAAACTCCAGAAGCTCAGAAAATTTTGTCAGAAACAGGAATATGTGAAGGCGTCAGCGTTCTCTATTCGTTTATCGTTCACAAAGTAATGTCTGTTTGAACAAGTTCGGCTCTGTCGTTTATCTATTAGGTTGTCTTCAACAAAGTAGAGGTCGCGTTCTCTTTCAAGGTGTAAAGGAATTGTGCCCCTCGCTAAATTCCACCAAGGTTTTAGCATTACGGCGGAATTTCGTTACCATAGTTACAACATCGGGAAGAGAACCTTGTTCTGTCTCTACAATAAACTCTGTTTATCTTTCCTTTCTTTACTCCTTGTGAGTTTTTTGGAATTCTAGGTGCCTGCAAAATAATCGACAAAAAATGCCAAACGCTAACTTTGCCGAAATATCTGTGTTCCAATTGACGTAATCAGTCAGTGATTCACCAATCACTTGATGCGACAACCCTTCTCTAAAAACGACCTATTAGACTTTCCAACAGTCGCGGATGCTCCTTTTTCTATTGACTTTGGCTTGTTTTAAACACCTTCCGGCTCCGTCCGTGACATCACATGTGTGTCTAGGAGACGCTTGCAAAGAGCTGATTTTTCCAAGAGTTTGGTTTTTCGATAAAATATTTTATGTTGTTACATACCTATGTAACAGACTCATGCCATATGTATGAAAAAACCTAGACTTTAGGTTTAATCTAGGTTCTAAAATAACCAAAGAGTAAATGGACTTCCACTTTGGGCTCAAAGAAAACAGTTGTAGTTCGCTTGAAAACACTTAAAAACGAAGAATTTGTGAAATATCCTGCTCGTCGTATCTGATTCTTATGGATCCAATCGTTTTGGGCACGTTCTACTCCCTTTTTTTTTTCTCCATACCAACTTATTTTGTGACACGAAACTAAACACTTTGAGAATTTGACGAGCTAGGGACAGTACATTCCATACCTTAATTTTTCGTCCCTTCCTCCCTTTTTATGGCCCTTTCCCTTTTTTTGCAAAACAGTTTTCTGTCAAATTAATCTTATATATTCTTCGAGACATGACAAAGACATAAACGAGACAAAATAATGGCTTTAGTGGGAATACAGATTAAATATATGATATTTATGCTTGCCGCGCAGCATGCGGCCGTGAGCGCAAAAAGTGCGCGGTCCGGAAAGGGTTAAACAAACTCGAAAGGTCAAGGACATTGATGCAATTAGCCCGAAATTTCTTTACAGCCGAGACAAAGAAAAGAGAAGGAAAAGAAAAAGAGAAGGAAAGCTAGCGGAGTGTTAAGAACAAGTCATGACTAAGTTAGAAATGTATGCCTGGTTGATTTTCTCATTTTCTTTTTTTTTTCAAAAATAATGTGGTCCTTTTCCAGGACGGAACAGCTTATCACGCGGATCCAAAATCCGACATAATTCACAGCAAATATAGAAACAGAAAATGAGCGAATAGAGCGGAAAAGGTGTTTTCGGAAGATACACCACCTGATGTTAAACAATGGTGTTGTCTCAGAGGAAGAAAATCTTAGAGCCCACAAAATGGAACTAATGAGCCATGCACATAGACTCTCCACAGAAAAACAAAACTTTTTGATACGAGTAGGTTCTAAAAAGTCCAAACTCCAACAAAGCTAATAGAATCTAATAGCACAGAAGCGCCCTGACAAAGTGAAGAGCACATCCACTGAAGATAACGCACAGCATCTCTCTTAAAGGTGAACATAGAGTTTAGGTCTCTAGTCGATCTAGCTAATTTTCGGCCAGCTTTGTTCTATGAAGGCTGAACCAGTCACGCGAGAGTGGTAGAACGAAGAAGCTAGTCACTTGTCAGAGCAGCAAAATTTCATGTCTCACCAGGGAATGGTGTATGAAGTATTGTAAAACTTGGAGATTTGGAAGAAAATACTCTGCTCAAAAAAACGGACACTACTCATGGGACTACCTAAAAATAGTTACGTATTGGTTCCGCGATTCGTTGAAGTCAAGAAATACCCGAGTGAATACATAACATCATATCAAGTGGCAGCCCACGTCGGGCTGCCATGGTTCCTTAATGGCTGCCACCGAGAGACCCGCGTAGCGCGTAACACAACGGGGACTCATTATTTTGTGATTTTGGCATATCATTTAGTAGTTCCGTATGCCCGCGATTCATTCCCTTACTCATGTGGGTTTTGAAATCAGCATCCTTCGATTTTAGAGGATGAAAAAGATGTATTCCGAACTATTTTTTACAAACCGAGCATCTTGTGCCTGCGAAATGTCGCCAAGACTAGGAAATATGAAACGGTCGGTTGCACTCTCATGTCATATTGTACTTGATTGTACGCACGTAATGTCGACAATTAGTTTTTTGGAGGTGCCCGTTTCAATAAAAAACAAAGCAGTCTATTCATTCTATTTGTTTTTCACTCTATTGTGCATTTTATGCTTCGAAACCTCGTAAAGAGTTCAGCTTTTGAATCACCCCCTTATTCTGAATTCATCGATTCAAAGGTGACGGCCGTCGGTGAGTGTGATTCGCTAGGACAGGAAGCGACTTCTCCGCTTTCAAACATTTTCGCTGCGGGAACCCCAAGTCCACCAGTGAGGCCGGTGTCAGGCTTTGCGCATAAAGCGATTCGCTAGTATCAACTCGCTCTATTCGCAGTCTGACATCGGCGGTGCTCTGGAGTGGACCTGGGGTTCTCACAGCAAGAAGTTTCGCGCGCGAAAGGCCATAAGGTCGCTTTCTGTCCCAACTTCCATGTCTAATGGTGCGGTGTAATGCTATTACAGCAACGATACTGTCGCATGGATATCTTTTGTAGTGATCTCTCATGACATTATTAACCGCTGTGCTTTTATTGCTCATGATATAGTGCTTCCTATGACCAAATTCAATTACAAAAAAATTATCCAAGAAAAAGTATAAACTGGAACAGCTTCACGATGAACCAACGAAAGGCAGAGATGAAAGTCATGCTATATCCCTGCAATGAGCAAAAAAAAAGAAGAAAAAAAAACCACATGTCAACATGCCCGTGTCGCGTTTACTTTTCATCGATGAAATTCCTAAAAGAGCGTATGCAAGGTCTCCATCATCAGTGAGTATCATAGTAATACAAATGCAATCGGATGAACACATGCGCAAAATGGACTAAAATGAAAAAGAATGAGCCTACAAATTCATAGGTTAGCTTGAATGGAACAACCCTTCCTTCAAACAAAGCATCCGATCCCTCTAACTGGAGGCAACACCATCCTTGCTTTCCCAGCTTTTCACCGATGGTTTTCGAACACTGCAATTCTCACAAAGAAACCGCACGACAGCTGCACTCCCGACCGCTTTCAAATGTGTCTTGTCGAGTTGTCCTCCGCATTGGGGACAGAAACGGAACAGCTCCAAGAGCCTTTCCCCCTTGACGAGGAAGTATCTCTGCAAATCAGCTGCCTCCGTCTGTCCAAGGTCCTCCATTGCCACGTTGCAGCTTTTCGAGTGGCTGCTACATGGCCCCTAAAACCAACTTCTGCGAAATTGCAATAGACGTACGATAAAATTAAGAACCTGATTGTTCATAGTAGATGCCACATCATCGTGAGGCTCAGGCTTGATCATGTCGACGTCTTCTTTGGGAACCGTCTCTACTTCTACTTTAGGTTTCAAGCGAGCCAAACATTCTATTTCTTCCGCCGATCCCACCTGAATTTTGCCTTGTCACGTGACGCCCATACATTCTTTGCTATATGATCGACAGACCTCCTCTTCGTGGCAATCAGGCCACATATCTGTTCCATAGTATCTCTTCAAAGCCTCATTTATGAACGTCCACACGTCTCGAGCAGTTATGGTTTCGGCGCTCTTAAAAATTCACTCTCGACCATGTGTCAGAAATAAAGGCATGTGAGGTAAAGCCTACATTGCTCACTGCGTTGATCGCTTCAACAAGATGTGATGGAATATCTGCAGTGCTCACGTATGCGATAGTTTTTCCTTCATGTGGGTCATCGCAATACGAAATGCGCTTCCCACTGGCGACCATTTCAGCACACAGGTATTGAGCCTGCTCGTAATAGTTTTGATAATAGTGAGGTAATTACGCACACAGACACTATGCTTTTGACTCACCGCTTGTATCACATGTGAGTGACAGATAAACGTCATATTCTTGCTGATATTTTTAAGAGCAGTGTTCATATCCACCCTCTTAACTTGCTCGATTAGCGAAAGAGACGCGATCATAATAATCTTCGAAATTCTAACTGACGGGTACAACCGTTTCATATTCTTCGAATTGCCGACATGTCCGCAGAAAGCACAAGTCCTTCTCAAACTTTTCATTTCGCAAAAGTAACCTAAACTTTGAAAAACGAAGTGATACGTTTCAAATTCAAGGAACATCAAAGGCAAACTGAAAAGAGCCACGGCAGTTGAAAACCAAATAGAACCTTAGGAAGGACCTTTCCAGATATTTTTCAAAAAGAATCTTCGCTGATAAAGTCAACGTAAGGCGCGAGCATCGAATAAATTCCAATAAGAACTACTTACAGCTACAGAAGACTTTTTGACTGCTAGCCAATTAGGGAAAAGGTGTGAAGAAATTAACTTCATAGAATTAGTAGTGGAAAGTCTGAATACAGGCAGGAAGGTAGCCAGGTTGCGAAAGGCAAACAGCTCGTTTGACGTAGTAATTAATTCCATTACGCCAGAGAAGCTAATTAATTTAGTGATAAGATGAATGAACAAAATTAAATAAAATAACGGCCTACAACAACTCAAGCAACAAATGGCAGCCCTACCGTCCTAGGTTTGACAACACGTACTGTGAAGGGCGGACGCTGATCCTTTTGGTTCTAGATCCCATTCCTCAAGGCCTAGGGGCATGCTTGCAGGGTCGTAGGGGCATGCTTCGAGATGCTAAGATGGCGCGACCTCTGTAACTGCGTTCCTAACATCTATCCATGGGAGCTACTATTTTAGTCAGAGCCCGGACCATGCCTTTACTAATATACTGATCTGAATTGTGGGTGTGATATAGCAACTAAGGACATTCTTCTCGATCTCCGACCGCGGATCGCCTGCGCGTGCTGCGTCTCGTGTGTTCCTAAGCTCTCTCCCTTATTTCCAGGTTTTGCGGTAATTTCCTTCCATTTTTCCTTCATTGGCAACCCAACTTCACCTTTTCTTTCATTCCTTCGTACCCTTCTGAAAGATGAGTTTTCCTCCAGCACTAGCTGGGACCACTTATTCTCTGCACCTTCCGCTCTTGCGAGATCAATATTTTGTGGAGGGTATGTATATGCACAGAACTATCTTGGACAACAGAGGGTTTCATCGCAATCACGACATTGCGTTGGACTTCAACACCAATTTGAAGTTTGGATCTGTAGGTGGTTGGTTTCGCTTCACGTCCTCTTCTCGCTCTCCCTCCATTTCCTTACGACGACAAAACCATGAAGAATGGGAGGAACTTTTACTGAGAAGTGACTATGACCTTGTTTATTATAATAGTAATAGATTGGCTTCCATCTCCCTCCCTCCCCTTCCCTCTCCTCCAGCCAAGGTCAGCCTGGGCGTGGTTCACTAGGACAGAAAGCGACTTTTTCGCGTTTCGCAGCGCGAAACATTTTTCGCTGCGGGAACCTCGGGTCCACTGATGATCAGAGGTGGACCTGGTTCCCGCAGCGAAAAATGTTTCGCGCTGCGAAACGCGAAAAAATTCGCTTTCTGTCCTAGTGAACCACACCCGGTCAACCCTTCGCTTGTACAAAAACGAACAAGTGGGTGAGTTGAGGGGATGGTAGATGTAGGAATATGATCGAAATCGTGGCACCCCGCAAATCAACGATGGAGGTGCGAGCCATCGCAAGAGAGAATCAGCCTCCAAATTCTTCCGCGATCCCGAACCACGAATGCGGCGTGGCATCTCCTCGCAAGATTTGTTAGTGTAAACACTAAACATTTTTCGTAGGAAAGGTTTCCAGAACCGATATTTCAAAAAGTCCATGTTTTGCCATTTTTAGAGGCACTCGTTGTTTCCCACAAAATCAGTTTCGAAGAAAGTTAGTTTAGTGAGACCTTAAAAAATCGTGTTTACAGAATGAGTGTTTTTCAGCCCCCCCCCCCTTCAAAAAAGCAAACAGAACTATTTTTGCACAGGTGATTTCTAAAATCAATCTCCTCCTGGAAGCTTAATTATTGCTTCATGCTCGCCTCGTCATCAAAACAGAGCCATTTTAGTAAGGAGCTGTGATCCTTGAGGTGACAAAAAAAAACTCTTAATTAGAAAACAACAAATGTGCTCATTGCGAATGAATGCATCTTGAAAAGAGCTTCGAAAACTCTGAAAGAGAGAATAATTCGGAATTTCTAAACCTCCTTACCTCAGCTCGTTGCGCAGCCTCGGATTTGAAGGAAGTAGTGACCACTTGGAATCTACTTGGCTACTGGCTCTCTGACAACTATCAAGTTTACACTGAATGCTAGGAACATTTACCGTAATAGCTTAGCTCAGCTTCAGCAAATAGTTGGATTTTGAGGAAGTAGTGCTCGCTTCAAGTGCTGTCGGTGCTCCACCGTGTCCAATCAGCAAACGCGCTCAAACATCATCATACAAACCTATGGCGTGCCATATTTATCCACCCAGGCAAGCGAGTCATTCCGGTCGGCGGCTATGGACGACAACCTATGAAGTCCCGTATTACATCCAATACCTCTGAACCCGCCCACTAACACTGGTATTTGTTAGACCACTTTTTGCGCCTAACACAGACACTGTCACTTACACACGAATCCGGGTACGGTAGGATTTGAGAGGCCTCCTTCGAAGTCCTCATCTCCCACAGTTTAGCCAGAATGGCATTCTAATCAGTGAAAATGCGCAGGCGAGCAGAAAATAGGCTCTAAATGGCGCCGGTTCCAAAAATGAATGTTATATATTTAAATCAGGCACCCGACTAAAATGCCTATGTATATAATGGCAACACCAAAATTTGATGTCTGACGTACCCCGTGAATGTGACAAAGTGTCGCCCGCTTTGAAAATAAATCATACTCGTAATCACGTCGAATCAGCCCTATGAGTGAAGTGACAGGCAAAAAAATTGAGATTCTGGGGTTGGAACAGTTGAATAGTGCCGAAGTTTATCAAATGGCTTTCACGGATCACAAGCACTGAAAAGGAGCACGCTGAGTATCAGGGTTTCACCCGGGAGGCCCGGATAATTTCAGCGTATAAAAGTTGATAAAAAAATATAAAATACATATATAAAAGTTGATCAAGATTTCGCTAAAAAAAAAACAGTTCTAATTTCTCTGAAAGCAAGAATCAGGATTGAATTGATGTGGTAATTCCACGCAAATATAAAAGTATGGATGGGAGGTGGATTACATGTTGCGGGAAAATTGAAGGAAGTCAGAATTGCACAGGAAATACGAGCCTTCCTACTTTGCGCGGGATAAGTTCAAAATGCACGCAGGGAGTTGAAATATAATGTGAGTGCGGAGTGGCAGAGAAATCCGAGTGGAGAGAGCATAGCAGATCAGGTTAGCGACGCAAGACACAAATATATCGAACGGTGGGCAGGCCATGTTACGTTTGGTGGAACCCGTTAGAAGTCTTTGACGCTTAGCGTCTGAGAGTGCACATCCACAGTTGATCATCTGATCGTAACGGTCGCACAGCACTGGGTACGTATCGATCGTCTGCGGTCCAACACATGCGATCGTTATGATCGTTGCGATCGTTACGATTGGACGACCGACTACGAATGCGACCTCATTGTTAGTGACGCGTTTCGTTGTAGAACGGTGGCGCGCTCTCGGCCATATGCGTACCGAGCACTTCTAGCCTGTAAAGGCTCATTAAATGGGTCTGAGCCGAACTTTGCATTGATCGGCTTCGCTTGTACGCTTGCCTGCTTGTCTGATACGAACAGCATTCGCGAGAACTCGAAGGGAAAGAGCGGGTCAAATTTGGGACAGGTGGGCATGGGCCAAGAAGACAAACGCATTTCGACATAGGCGCTCGCCCATGTTGGGTGGAACTGTCCCGATATGTGGTGGGGGGAGTGCCGAAGACGCTGAAGACAAAAAATTTCTGATTCGGTTTCAGAACAACACAGGGAGTGGTACAGATGGGTACAGGTTGCATGGTCAGATTTAGGAGCCCAACCTCTTGTGGGTGGCAGAGTTCCCCACAAAACCTCGAAATTATTTTCGAAGAGAGCTCAGAGGCCGAAAAAGTGGACAGAAGTTGACGATGGGAGGGGTCAGATGCTCTCTATGGGTGGATACAAAATTGAAAAACTCCTGGTTCGATTCCGGAACGGACCAGAGACTTCAGGATTATTCTATCGCGAAGTCTCATGTTGATCTAAATGTGTAATCAACAATGTCAGACTTGTGAAAAGTTAATATAATAAGTTGCTTAACCGACTTAATTGCTGCTTCCAAAAGTATTATACTTACCACCTTTGTCGGTCAATTCCTGCTTCACAGACCAGCAAGGGCTATAAGTGTGGCAGTTTTTGAAGCAGCAGATGACTCGGTTAATACAACTTAAAGTTTAACTCTTCAAAAGCACCAACTTATGCATTTCATTTCAGGCTCGACAAAAGCGCTAGGCGCCTAAGGCTCACCGAAAACTTCTAAATTTTTGCAATACTTTTGCAGTCACATATTCTTGTGATTTGTTCTGTAAAAGCCTTCGCAATGGATAATTGATGACTCACTTTGTTAACTACATATTTAGGTCCAGAGACTGTGAAAAATCAATGCCAGCGGTAGACGGGACTGAACCTAGTAAATTTAGTTGCCACACTACTATCACCAATGGTCTTCTTCAACTTTACCACGGCCTTATTCGCTTATGGGCCGTATGCTATCCTTCCCCGAAGCTAGGTGACCCAAAGTTTCCTTTAAATTTATTTGCTTTGAACGATGTAGTTTCTTCATTTTCAATGCATGTTTACTTTTACCTACATACATACATTTAATGTAGGCCTTTTATCAGGGTAATCCCAGTTGGGAAGACAGAGAAAATTTAAAGGAATTTTCGTCCCCTAACCCCTTCGGGGAGGATAGCATACGGCCCTATATCATTTTGCACACGAGCTGGGCGAAACTATTCCACGGTAATGGAATGTGCACTAGAGGGCAGTTCATAGCAAGGTAGAACTTCTTAGAACGATCTCATATTCATAACATGCCAAGATTCATCGAAAATGCGTACATGATCTCCAACAGATCCAGAGAACCTAGGAAAATTAACCCTTTGACGACCGCCGTTGTGCGTGCGTTGCTTCACTTCTTTTTAAATTTTTTCGTCAATATCCATTAACACTCAAACAATTTCACTATTAGTAACTAGCATATTGTTTTGCGCTTTCCAATAATGTATACAGCCAGCTTTGAAACACTCAAAAATGCCAAACAAATGACGAAAAACGAGTCGCCTCTAAGTGAAAGTGTGGCCCACCCCCCTCACACCAGCGAGGCGGGCCCACGTCGTCAAAGGGTCTAACACGTTGGACTGACTATCGCAGACTGCCTTTTGGCATTTTGCACCTCGTGGGACAGGAGCGATTTTGCGACCGCGCCGTCCTCACCTTACTTCCGCTTATTTTCTTGTTAAAAATGCACAATAACTAGAATTTCATAGGACTATTTCGACAAGGATGAACGTATAAAGGTTAACTGTATAAGTAGCAGTAGGTTTTTGTTTAGAAGAGTGCATAATGACCACGAAGAAGTAAAAAACACGCTTTCGCTGCGAATGAAATTAAAAGCATTTGTATCTAAGTATTTCCATCACATGCAAATATATTGAAACTCACAGAGTTTTGTATTAACTAATTCTACAATCTTTCATATAAATGTTAACGACAGTGAAAGGAATACCAGGAAAGAATTGAAATGAAAGTTTTGTGCGTTCGGAAAATTTTGCTAAATCATAGGATACTTGACCACTCTGGCTGCCAGCGGTTTATAGTTATGCTAATGTATTATCTATAGAATGAATACAAGAAACCCGAGAGGAAGGAGCGCAAGCACGATAAAAGTGAGTAGCATAGACTTGACGCGCTTGCGCGTCAGAATGTCCGATGCGGTGCGAAATTCTTGACGCGCATGCGCGTCAAGCTTGTCGTCAACGTGTTAAAGGAGAGCAAGAGGATAATGAGTCAAATTCAGCGTGCACAGAGTGGCCGGAATAAAAATTTGAATCAATGTCCTGGAACAACCTAGTGGGAGAAAGGTAGAGAGAGGGTAGCGAAGAAGCAGATTACACCCGCATAGCAAACGGAGTCTGCACTAAATAGCGTTATGCTCAAATAGTACGATTGCTTCCTTTCATATCGCTAGCCCGGAGCACGTGTTAGGGAGCGATGCCAAACTGATAAAGCATGAATTAAAGCTTACTTTCAGTTTTAACTTGCATTTGCTTCCAACCTAAAGGTAACGATTTTTACATAACAAAAAAAAATAGGTTACAGTATTTTTGAGGTATCAAAAAAACATTATGAAAACCGAAAGAGGATCTTGCTGTACCAAGTGAATGATATCCGTGGATGCGAAAAACCTATTCATCTACTTAACCTTTAAAGAGTACTGTAAAATTCGAAATATCCCGATATATGACAACTAGAAGCGATCCAGTCTCTAGCAGAAGAAAGTGAAAACACGAGAAAAGACTAGAAGAACGAGAAAGATAAGTGATAGTTGTTACGAGAACGCCAATGGGCGTGGTTTCGAAGTTGACCGAGCATAACAAATAACTAACTAAATAAAACAGTTTTTATCACTTTATTACAAATGTGAAAGGAAATCTCTTGAAAATAACGATTGAAAAATACCACACTTTATGAACTACCTCACCGTTTTAACAACATCTTAGCGTATGCTCCACTTCAGTAAACCCGCAGTGGAAAAGAATTCAACAACAAAGGAATCTATACGGTTCATTTCCGTAGTGAAGGACTTGAACAAGAAAATGGAAATTTCTGACTCGACCGGCCAATTCTTTACCATCAAGTCAACAGAAACAACGAAATGGGGCCATATAAGCAACCAATAAAAGACAGCTGAACAAATAAAAACAGAAAACCAAGAAAAATGGAAACATATTTAAGTCAGAGGAAAACGAGCTCAGCAATGGCAATATAGGAGAGCATAACGTGCGAGACAGCTTTATTCGCTTTCCTCATCAGCACTGTCTCCTTTCTCGTTCTTTGTTTCTCCTGTTTCAGCTTTCTCCTTCTTTTTTGCAGCACGAATCGCATCTTCAGCGTCCGCTTGCTGGTCAAGACCCTTCGGCGCCACCATACCATCCTGAAAAAATTCACTACTTCAATGGATTCTGAACGTAACTCTTAGAGATAATTTTTCGCTTCGTATATTCAACAGTGAGAGATATCTTTGAAAATACGCTCATCAGGCATATGATTCGTAATTGAAAGGGAATGCGAAATCTCAAGCGGGCCCACCGAGCCCTCCCTCCCAACGAGGATGTTACTCGGTAACCGACTTTTAGCAAGATAAATGTCCATAGCTCTGCCTTTCAGAATGAAAGTGTAGCGGGTATATATCCTATATACATTGTTTGGATTGGCGAGCAATGTGTGGCAGAAACTTACCTGATCCTCCTCCTCACTTTCATCTTCGTCTTCATCAGACCCTTCCTCTTCCTCAAGTTCAGCCAGCTCCAACCTTTTCTTAATGTCATTGTCGTCAACATCGGTGACGACGCGAGCCTGAAAATAAGGTGACAAAATTGGAGGCAAAGGGACAAATTTATTCGAAACTGTAAAATTCACCTCCTCTTTGATAGCAAATTTTCCTCCATATCTTTCTATAGTCTGCCTAACAACATCCAGCGCATCATTGACAGCAGTGAGACCATGTTCTCTATCAAGCGTCTGTGTCGTGACGACAAAATGTGGAGCAGCGATGAGATTGATCTAAATGATAAGATGAGATGGGCAAAGAGGAAATTCGGCAGTCAGCAAATCCCAATTTTTTAAAGGTACGAATATCTAACAGATCATTCCTAAAACTATACGAAACGAAAGAAAGAATTACCTTAATCGGCATCGACTCTGTTGAACAATTCTTGCCAGCAATTAGTGCTTCTTTGATGGCGTCAATGCCATCATAAGAGAAACATGACACCTCTATATCGGCTCGAATCTGTAATCAACTGGCCAATCGTGCTTAAAAAATGGCAAACAATGGTGCAACAACAATGGGGAACATCTGGATAAAAAGGAAAACAGAAACAGCTAAATTAATTTTACAATCTGCGCTCACCTTGACGGCTTGTGGAGTGAGTTTCTTCCTAATGTCTTCCAGAAGTGCTTCTCTAACTTCAGGAGAAATATCGCATTCGTCCAATACGTGAGGCTCCCTTCAAAGATATACTTGACAACCAGCACATTGCATTCTACTGAAGAAAATGAACCGAAAAATCCTATATGGCTCTTCATCTCGTTGGATGTCTTCGCGCTGCGCTGAATGAAAAGAAGGAAGAATTAGAATTTGCCCTAACTCCTCATCTTGCAAAGTACCTTGAAATGCTACGCTACCAAGCCAATCCCGAATGAAATTGACTTATAATAACAGCTAACAAGGAAAGGATGGTAGGTCGAAGTGGCCGTATAAAATGAGATGTATACCACCTGATGCGTCTCTAGACGCTGATTCCAAATCTGCCTTCCAAATCTGCTAAACGGCTCTCCGAACGGAGTTATGAAGCGTAATAGCTCAGTGGTGATGGTCCGGGGTGGCAGGTAAAAGCTCGTAGGATCGGTTCCTTTGCAAGTTTGTTGCTTTGCTTTTGTCCGCAACACTTCTAGAGACAAAAGCAAAGCAACCAAACTTGCAAAGGAACCGATCCTACGAGCTTTTACCTGCCACCCCGGACCCATCACCACTGAGCTATTACGCTTCATAACTCCGTTCGGAGAGTCGTTTAGCAGATTTGGAAGGCAGATTTGGAATCAGCGTCTGAGACGCATCAGGAGGTATACATTTCATTTCGAACGGCCACTTCGACCTACCATCCTTCCCTTGTAAGTAAAAAGGCGATGAA